AGGCACAGTGCCGTGGGGAAACCCCGCTGCCGCGGCAAGTTGTCGCGCAGCGGACAGACTTTCGGCACGATCTCATGGCGACATGGAGACAGCGACTGTCGCAACCCCGTGCTGGGCACGCCACTATAGCGGCGATAAGATCCCTCTTTGAGGAGTGGCTTGAGAGATGCCACGGCATCCTCACCTTCTGCCTGACGCAGGTCCTCACCGGACACGGTGTGTTTGGGAGGTTCCTGCACCGAATCGGGCGGGAGGAAACGCCCGGGTGCTTCCACTGCGAGGATGGACCGGAGGACACGGTGGAACACACCGTGGAGGTGTGCCCTGCTTGGGCGGAGCACCGCCGTGTCCTCGTAGCGGCGATAGGCGGCGGCGACCTCTCTCGTCCGGCCCTGGTCGAAGCCATGGTCCGGAGCGAGACGGAATGGGATGCCGTCACCACCTTCTGCGAAGCAGTGATGCTAGCGAAGGAGGTGGCGGAGCGGGAGAAGGAGAGAGCAGCAGCTTTCCTCCCCGGCCGCCGCGGGAGACGCCCCGGGCGTCGGGGGCTACGTCGTGGCCCCCGGCCACCGTAGGCGCGGGCCTGTGGACGGCGAGCAATGGGTAGCTCGTCGTCCGTCCGTCTAATGACGACAGGCCGTGTCGACGGCGCGTTTTGTTCCACGCGCGCCTCAAAGAGCTGTCAGCAGCGTGAAGGGGCCCGCAAGGGCCGACGCCTGCCGGGGCTGCGGGCTGTTCGAAAGAGATACCGCGGCTCCGGAACGTAAGGGCACTGAAGGAACACGGATGGTTTTTAGTCAGTAAAAGTCTGACACTCCCTTACGCTCCACCCAGAGCGAAAGGGGTCATTAGATGATTTTCCATGCGCAAAAAAAAAAAAAGGCTACAGCCCAACATCTTCCCCATTTCGGTGCTACATAGTTTTAATGTGACAAACTATTATAGCAAACGGTATAAAAAATTAATTAGTATGACAACAAATACAACATATAGTCTAACAAAGTAAAAAGGGAGAAAAAAAATATATAAATAATAATAAAGTAAATAAAAACTGTTTGTTTGTGTGTGTGTGTGTGTGTGTGTGTGTATGTGTGTGTGTGTGTGTGTGTGTGTGTGTGTGTGTGTGTGTGTGTGTGTTGTGTGAGTGTGAGTGTGAGTGTGTGAGTGTGTGAGTGTGTGAGTGTGTGAATGTGTGAGTGTGTGAGTGTGTGTGTGTGTGAGTGTGAGTGTGTGTGTGTGTGAGTGTGTGAGTGTGTGTGTGAGTGTGTGAGTGTGTGAGTGTGAGTGTGTGAGTGTGTGAGTATGTGTGTGTGTGAGTGTGTGTGTGTGTGTGTGAGTGTGTGAGTGTGTGAGTGTGTGAGTGTGTCACACACTCACACGTGCGCGTGTGCGCGTGTGTGCGTGTGCGCGTGTGCGCGTGTGGCCGTGTGCGCGTGTGCGTGTGTGCGCGTGTGCGCTTGTGCGCGTGTGTGCGTGTGTGCGTGTGTGTGAGCGTGCGCGCGTGCGCGGGTGCGTGCGTGCTTGCGTGCGTGTGCGTGCGTGGCGTGCGCGTGCGCGTGTGAGTGTGTGAGTGTGTGAGTGTGTGTGAGTGTGTGTGTGTGAATGTGTGAGTGTGTGTGAGTGTGTGTGAGTGTGTGTGAGTGTGTGTGAGTGTGTGTGAGTGTGTGTGTGTGTGTGAGTGTGTGTGAGTGAGTGTGTGTGTGTGAGGTGTGTGAGTGTGTGTGAGTGTGTGTGAGTGTGTGGGCGTGTGAGTGCGTGAGTGATTGTGAGTGAGTGTGAGTGAGTGTGAGTGAGTGTGAGTTAGTGTGAGTGAGTGTGTGAGTGTGTGTGAGTGTGTGTGTGTGTGTGTGTGAGAGTGTGTGTGAGTTGTTGTGAGTGTGTGTGAGTGTGTGTGAGTGTGTGTGAGTGTGTGTGTGAGTGTGTGTGAGTGTGTGTGAGCGTGTGTGAGTGAGTGTGAGTGTGTATCTTATAGCCCTTAAAAAACCTTCAAAATGTTTTTTTAAGAAGATCGATAGCATAAAAATTAAGCGAGTTGTGGATAAAAAACCAATTACTTATATAAACTCGTACAGGGTCTTTGACTATATTTTCGTGATTCCTAGAGCCTTTATTATGTCAGATAGAAAGAAAGTGTTTTATGCAGAAGTTGTAGGTATTTTCCTATATTATTTATTGAAGTTATCAGATAAAAACAGGAAACAGACAGGAACAGGAAACAGATAGGATTCCTATAAAGGATTTATGTTGATAGTATAAAGTAAAGTAGGGAACACTTACCATTTTATTAAAAAAAATCAAACCGTTGAAATTGCAGTCAGCAGGTATTCAGCACTTCATTTTTTAGAAAAAAAAGTAGTAAACAAAATATTACACTTGTGTACACAACACTTGACAAAATAAAAATAATTTTAAATGTAAAAATTAATAAAATTACTTCTTTTTATGCACTTGTTGCATGGTCCAGTGAATTAACCGGTTTAAAAACGCCTCTGACGATGCATCGCTTTTATAGCGCTCCGGGCATTGTTCATGTCTGAACAGGAAAAATCAAGAAACTACCGCCTGACATGTTCTTGCAACGTAGGAATCGGCAGTAACTGAATGATATACTAATGAAATTTCGTGTGTAAATACCTAATCCTATTGAATTTCTCAACTTTTATTTTAAAATTATTTTTTTTTTTAATTTTTGCAGTATTTTACCCTAGGTTTTGGCGCCCCTAAAGAATGGCGCCCGTGTGCATTGCACACTTTGCACATATGGTAGCAGGGTACCTACGGTACCCCGGGTTTTACTAAAATAAAATTACGACATTTCGTCTATGAAAGTCGGTGGTTTCGTCTAAAGATGTCCCCTGTTTGGTTCTTCACTGTGGATAAGCTTCATTTTATCTTCCTTATGGGCCAAGTATTTCTTCCTTAACAAAGACTCTCTTGGAATGGTTCTATCTTAATTTTACAGTTATAAATGTAATTTTTCTTTAAATAAAAGGCCCAATTTGACTTTAGTTTCAACATAATAAGGTTAGTTTGGTTTCGTCAAAAACCACTCACAATAAAAGTAAGGAAAAGCAACCCACGGGGCAACTGTCATTTGTGTCAAACTGGTATTATTGCATTTCACGGTCACGGAGGATATATTTAAATTTGAATTTCCCGGAATCGCGGGATGTTTTCGATAAAAACATGCATTCCATAATAGCCAAAATCTTAACTACTCAACTATATACATAATCCACGCGACCATTTACGTTATTTTATAAGGCGCGACAGCTGCAGTGTCAAGTAGTCTCGTTACACTTTTATTGTTTATATGTTGCTAATCTATACTAATCTCGTAAGGAGTGTCGTTGTGCTTGCGTATTCAATTTTAAACATAATTTGTAACACGTAAGGGTTGACTTTAAAAAAATAAACATATAACTAATCTCGTAGGGAGTGTTCTTGACACATTTCGATTATCACTACGATGTTTGTGCAATATTATGTACTCGATTATCTTATCGGTAAAGTTCTCGATTATTATTTATGATACTATTTTAAATGATTATATTAGAAGGAAAGCATATATCACAATAAAATACTTACATATGGAATGTAACCCAATATTTTTGTAAATTTGAAGTATTAGACTTCCTTTTGCACATGTTAACCGCACAAATAGGCATTTTTAAAGAGTACCTAAAACGACGGAAACGATCATTGTAATAACGAAATCGATTCCGTAAACAGTTTTATAAAGAAAAAAATCAAAAAATAAAAAAAAAAAACCGACTACGGGAAAAACAAAAAAATATTAGCTATTTGACCATGGAGGTTAAAGAACAGGAGAACGATCGCTACGTACTAAAGCATAGCCCGCCTGTAGCTACAGGTTGTTCGCGAATAATTTGTATAAATCATATCGGGAAAAAATTAGATAATTGCGGAATCGTTAGAAACATTTGTAATATCAAGTAAAAAATTGTCAGTTTGTAACTTTATTCACAAATAATCAAAAACTTTTTACGCCGCGAGAAAGTAGAAAAATACGTTTCTCTTGTAAGATATTGATCTGAGAACATTGAAACCACTGCGAATCGTTTTCAAATTAATTGTCGATTCTGTAAATATTGCCTTTAATGCGTTATTGGGTATAAATACTGAGTAGTAAATTAATTATTTATTCGTCAACTACTCTCCACCAATTCGGGCGGTTCGTGTATCATATTGTATAAATCGTATCGGAAAAAAATTAGATAATTGCGGAATTAAATATAAATAATAACTAAAGCATATTTTATATACAAATAATAAAAAACAATATTTATTGAAATTAGTACACAAAATACTTTAAAAAATCTTACACAAGCTATCACAGTTATACAAAAAAGATGCCAGTAGAAAATACGTCAATTGCGGATAGTCAGAGTGATTCAAGATATGATAACAATGAAATGTTAGCTTCTTTTTTCAAGGACCAGAGTGATGTCCAAAAACGGGGGATTATTTTAAATGGAAATAAAATAGGGAAAAAAACATACAGCATAAATAACAGCTTAAAGCTACTACAATTTCGAAACACGTGCCCTTTCGATAGTGCATTGGAAGTTTTGACGACTATTTATATTGATAACGAATACTTTAAACAAGATATAAATAAAACGAGATGTGATGGTTTTCCTAGTATTTACAGTTGTATAGTTGATTATTGTGATAACAATTTTCATACAGATTATGTATATAATTGTAGGAGTGAGATTTTGTATCCATTATATCAAAATGCAAAAACATCTTCAGAATCTATTATTGATTGCTATGACAATGTAGGAAATATACTTGAAAAATTATTAAAGCAATTACCAAGTATTCAAAAAACTTTTAAATGCTCACATTGTAATTATAAAAACCAAAGGGCATATTATAGTGTGTCAATATCAGCCACAAACTATTATGATAATGTTATAAAATCTATTGAAAGTTTCTTAGAGAATAAATTATTAAACAAGTTAATATTTTGTATGGAGTGCGCAGATAAAAGCTTAGAAGTAAAATATGAACTTTCTGATTATTTTGTTATTGATCTGGAGTATTTACATGACGAAAAGAACGCTGAAATTATTCTTGCAGCCGTCAAAAATAAAAAAGTGATTTTCAAAACAGATTTTGAAGAAATACCTAAAATATTACAACTAAAAGATAATGATTTTGAACTCAAAGGAGTAATTGCTTTTCACAGTGACTCCAAATCACCAAAGAGAGAGAGAGAGCTGATTACAAAGCATACACATATTCCACTAATGAAGAATGGATATTGTATAATGATTTAGCCTCGAATAAAACAGTATTATTCATCCCTCCAGAAGAAAAAATTGCTTTAATTATTTATGCAAAAGTACCATAGTGTGATAACACAGAGAAGATTGATCAATCAACAATATAAAGCTGCATCAATAATGGAACAATATTATTTTATGTAGAATTTAATAACAGGGTAAAACTAGAGGTTAGTAAAAATTTAATTGTAGATGTCCTTATTGATATTACCTCATAGGATATTTCATAAAATCTTGTATTATTTTCAGATATCATCGTCGCAGAAAATGTACAATTATATTGCAGGAAACACGGGCAGTCTGTTGTAAAAAAGATTTCATGCATGATTATTAATAAATACATTTATTTAATTCGTTTATGGTGAGAAATAAATAATTTATTGTTATTACATTTATTTAATTGTAGTGTAAAATATTTATTTATAAATAATTTTTTCCTCTTCTTTCAGTTAGATTGCATAGAAAATTCAAGGGTATTTAAGTATATCAAGGTATAATTAGTTTTTAAACTACAATTTCACAAAATTTTCAACTTTTCATTTTGCTAAGTAATTATAACACTCACAATTTAAAAAATTAGTTTTAAATACTAAGGTAATCTTTTTGAAAAATTATAAAAAAGTGAATACACACTAAGAAAAGTCAGTGCAGCTAAGAGATTCATTTTAACAAATTTATTAAAACATCCACTCAAATAAAACAACCATGTACTGGGATTCAGGTAAACATAAAGAAAGGATAACATTAAATAAAAATGAATATGGTAAATAGTTTAGGAATGAGTTTTAAAGCATCTGTGAAAATTTGTCAAAATTTCAGAGCTCTACATTCAAAACAACAGAAATGGCTGAACTGTTAATCCTGCTTATTACAATACGTGAGAGTTATCATTAGAAGTATTACTCTAAAATTTGAACAAAAGCTTTACAACGGCTACATACGGCTTTTCATTTTGGGAGTTTGATTTCCTACAAAAGTCTTATTACAAGAGATTTCTAAGTCCTTAATAATTTTTAAATATAATTGAAAAATTTCTAAGGTAACTGGTTAACCAATGGTACCTTTTAGCATTAAAGAAAAAAGGAAAAACTTGAACACACATTAGTATAAGTTACTTATAAAGTTACTAAACATAAAATATAGTACACAAACCACCCGAATTGGTGTAGAATAGTTGACGCAAAAATAATTAATTTATTACTCAGTATCTATACCGAATAACGCAATACAGGCAATATTTACTAAATCGGTAATTAATTTGCAAACGATTCGCAGTGGTTTCATTATTCTAAGATCAATATCTCACAAGAAAAACGTATTTTTCTACTTTCTCTCGGTGTAAAAAGTTTTTGTTTTTTTTATAAATAAAGTTATTATCTGTCCATTTTTGTACTTGAGATTACTAATATTTCTAACGATTCCGCAATTACCTAATTTTTTCCGATACGATTTATACACTATGGTACACGAACCGCCCGAATCGGTGTAGAGTAGTTGACGAAAAAATAATTTATTTATTACTCAGTATCTATAGCGAATAACGCAATAAAAGCAATATTTACAGAATCTGTAATAATTTGCAAATGACTCGTAGTAGTTTTAATGTTCTCAAACCAATATCTTACAAAGAAAAACGTATTTTTCTACTTTCTCGCGACGTAAAAAGTTTTTGATTTTTTATAAATAAAGTTATAAACTGTCAATTTTTGTACTTGAGATTACAAATATTTCTAACAATTCCGTAATTATCTAAATTTTTTCCGATACGATTTATACAATATGGTGCAAGAACCGCACGAATTGTTGGAGAATAGTTGACGAAAAAGTAATTAATTTATTACTCAGTATCTATAGCGAATAACGCATTAAAGGCAATATTTACTAAATCGGTAATTAATTTGCAAACGAGTCGCAGTGGTTTTAATGTTCTCAGATCAATATCTTATAAGAAAAACTTATTTTTCTACTTTCTGCGTAAAAAGTTTTTAATTTTTGATAAATAAAGTTATTAATTGTCAATTTTTGTATTTGAGATTACTAATATTTCTAACGACTCCACAGTTATCTAATTTTTTCCGATACCATTTATACAAATTATTCGCGAACATCGTGTAGCTTCCGCCTGTCCTTGAAAATTGTAAAATTTATAGCGGCGCTGACGTCGGTGAGTAGTTACTGCGAAGTTAGCTGTTTATGAGTACAAGTAGATGAAGTTAGTTGAATAATGTACAAATTTTCTTTGCGGCATTGGTGAGAAAATTTTCATGCTCCGTAATTTTGTAATTTTTGACAAAAAGAAACATTAAAAAATGGAGAAATATTTTATTGTGCGCGGATGTGCAAGTGGTTTAGCATCTGATCGGAAAAATAGACTGAAATTGACTTTTATTGAGCGAACTTAGCGATCGCAGCGCCTCACTTATGGTGTCCATATTTCTGGGACACTATTTTCTACGGCGATCGTTCTCCTGTTCTTTAGCCTCCATGAACATTGGCGTCAGTTGACATCAGTATCCTCTTTTATTTTATTAGTTAGTCTGTGATATCAGCTGACGTATGTTTTGTTTCTGTATATTTTACTCTACTCTATGGTTTTACTTGAGTTTGTTTGTTGTGTTGGATTGGATTTCCTAATATTTTATGAATTATTGCATCGAAATACCTTTTTTTATAATTCCTTTTTATATGGCCACAAAGCAATAAGAATAAGTACTAATATATAACAAACTCAGAGTTTTATGACAACGCAATATGGCAACTAACGGCGTTTTAAATATGGTTCGCTGGTTTTAAATATTTTTTATTAACCAACAAGATATTATACGTTGGGTATACACAATTATTAGTTATCATACTTGAAATTTAATAATCATGTCATACTTTAAATTCGTAATCTCATGAAACTCATGCTCATGCTTTATTCCTTGAAAAATATTCAGAAACACACTTGTAGAAATTGTTACCTTTTAATAAATGCAATGATCATTTAGATCTATCATTGAAAAAATGTTATACTTTAGTAAGTGACCAGCGTTGCTGAGATCACAATAATAAAAAAATGTGTAGTAATTACATTAGGTAAGTTGATAATTGTGAACTTGTTTGTGGTCCGAAGTTTAATAAATAAAAATAAAAAAAAAGATTTATTTATTTTTAATATTTCAAGACTAGGTTTATTTGATTCACCAATGTCTGTTTACATTAAGTACTTAAAACATTTTAATTTACCTCAAGTGGCTGTTTGTCTCTTTTTAAAATATTTCTTTATTATATTAGATAATTATCTTATGTGAATTCACATTGAAGACATGTATCTATAAAATACACACCCATTACTGAATGTAGGTAATTAAAGAGAATTTCATGATTTCATATTAAATGTTTCATATATTCATTTTTTTTATTAATTTCCTTTAGTATCCAATATCTCTTAAGCCTAGTTCGGACAATTTTAGTAATTTAGTAGAGTAGCGTGTAATTTCATGGCTAAACTTCTAGCTACTGCATGGAAATCGTTCGCATTACAGTCCCAGTACACAAGTGAGTGCTACTAATTGTCTTCTGAAGGAATTAGCATTGGAAGATCTCAAAGAATACTTCAATAGTTTGAGAATGTCCAAAAGTTGTGTGGATGCATCCAATATACTGAACCATTTTACTGAAGGAATATAAATGAACTGAACTTTTAGAGTCCTTTATTTTTTAACTCCATCAAGTAGGTCAATCTGAAAAGGAAAGGATCTCTGGGTAAAATTATTTCTAAAAACAATAGGTAGTGATAATAATTAAAAGGTTATTGTATCATTTGAAATACTTAAAATAATTAAGTTATGCACTAACCTGATGTTTTTAATTTTCAATTTAATTTCCTTTTCAACAAATCTGGGTGTATTAATTGTATTTTTGAAATCCAAGTAAGCGGATTATTTCATTTGTTTGTTTTTATAGTGCACGGATCAAGCATTCATGTTCTACATATTTGAAAACAGTTTTAAGGTTGTTTCTCCACTCCAGTGAATTGACTAATCAACAGGTTCGGACTTTTTTAGCCTGTGAATCAGTAAGCACGGATGCATAGTGGAAGGCGCTACTCGCCCGATAAAAATAGATTGAAATGGATTGACTCAACTTAATCATTCACTAAACTAGTTGACTAATTTTTTGTGGTTCGCACACATTTAGCCACTAAATTACTCGCTACTCTACTAAATTACTAGCCTAGTCCGAACTAGGCTTTATTACTTCCTCATCCTTATTAGTACAATAACAATACAATGCTAGACATAATCTTCTACCATAAAAGTGAAGATTTGTCACAATTGGAATCCCAGCACATGAGAATTACTTCACTTTAACTGTACATCATACAAAATGTAACTTTGATACTTGCCATAATGTCATCTGAAGTAAATAAATAAATAGTATTTTGGACTTTTGTTAGTCACCTCTTAGAATACCTATGGATGAGTTGGAGTGATTTTTTCTTTTATTCCATCTCTACTACATGTTGTTTCATTCATCATGGGTATTAAATATTACTACAATATTATCCATTCGTACCATTTTCCATACTGTCACCATAATTTGTAGGTCAAAAAGTTAAGTCAAATATTATATATGCAGCAGAACTCCTACGGATGCTCTTGTAGTGTTATAAAAAAGTGGCAGTGGGATATTACTCAAATGACTGGCTGCAATGGCAAGAATCTTGATAAATATGCTGTACTTGTACTAAATCGCCCAATATCACAAAGAACAAATTTTATTAAGAACTTTTGGAACAATGGTAAGTGTGATGTTTATATATTTCATATTCTTTTTTACCTTTACATCTAAGTAAAAAATACATACATGACATACACTTTTTGAATTATGGAATTGACATATGTATTTCTTTTTTTAAAGTATGTTACACTAGCATTTTATCCCGTATTGGGGAGGCACTTTACAAACATAATTTTAATTAGTTTGGCAAACCTTATTTATCTGTTATTAGACACTAGTTATTTTATCAAGGCTTAATTAACCTGAATGATGTTTGACAAACAAAATTTGGATATTAGAATTGGAATGAAAAGAAATTTTATGAAATCTATAAAAATAATAACATACATTGTTATACCTTGGTGGTAATCAATGGCAAAACGATATGATTTCATATAGGGTCTCTGATTTCTCTACTTATTTTTTTCTTAGGACTTGTTACTAATATTCATCATCATTTATTATTTATTCAGTCTTATTCAAACAATTCAGTCTTGCTTTAACTGCTTTAATATAAAGCTTTATTTTTAACAATTAACTAAACTATAAGTATCTTCCTATAAACTTTTTAGTTAGTCTTTCAAGGTAAGTATTATAAGACTTGTCATTCTTTTTAAAGTTCTTTCTAAAAGTTAAGAAGTATGAAGACTTTTAATTTACTCTAATATTGTTTCAGCTGTAGTGAAAGTAACCGTTGATGGTCTAAAAGTTAAGAAGTATGAAGACTTTTAATTTACTATAATATTTTTTCAGCTGTAGTGAAAGTAACCGTTGATGGTGGTACTACAAGATGGGATACATTTGTAAGCAAACTACCGGAAGATGATAAAAATAATATCTTATTACCCAACCTTATTACTGGGGATTTTGATTCAATAACAGAAGAAATATTACAGAAATATAAAAAGAAAGGTTGTAAGGTGAAATTGAAACTTTATGGTTTTCAATTATTTTATATTCTCAGCATTATCATAACGTTTTAATACATTATCTTGTGCATAATTCCATTAACATCCTATGTCAACTTCTAAATGTATTTAATTTATCATTTTTGTTTTTACAATTTATATTAATGGAAGTTAAACATAGTCATTTACATCTTTAAGTATACTTGTCTTATTTAAAAAAATCTTCATATTGATGGTTACTATTTTATGTAACTACAGTTACTTTACAAATAATTTTTTTTATAGAAGAGCGGTCGAATGAGTATGCGGTTCACCTGCTGATAAGTGACTTCCACTGACCATGAACAACCGCAACACCAGGGGAATTGCAGGTGTGTTGCCGGCCTTTTAGAAAGGAGTAAGCTCTTTTCTTGAAGGTCCCCAGGTTGTATCGGTTCGGAAAAATCGCCAGTGGTAATTAATTCCACAGAGAAGTTGTACGGGGAAGAAAACTCCTAGTAAAACGCACAGTGGTGGACCACCAAGCATCCAGATGGCGAGGATGCTATTGTGAATTTTGACGCGATGCGCGTTCATGAAATTTGGCGGCTGGAACTAATCCAACAATTCCTCAGAGCACTCCCTATGGTAGATACGATATAAAACGAAAAGGGATGCAACATTCTTATATGCAATAAACTTACAGTCCACCTAATGGTAAGTGATTACTTTTTTATGTAACCGCTTTTATCATTATACTACTGCCTTCAGACAGGCAGTCAACAGAGAATGCTTTTAGCATTAAGTCCAGCTTTGTTTTTATAAATTAAGTAAGGTTCAATAAAGAATATATGAATAAATAGTATAGTTTGTGGACACCTCCAGCCAACTTTCTTTCTTCTTTCTTACTGTCACCCCTAAGGACTAAGATGTACGCCTCACAACCTGTAATTAAACTGGCTAGATGGTAGAGCCACGCTGCAGCAATATTATGGTTGCTAGCTTAATTGCTAACACAAATGGGTCGGCTTGACCAGGGTTTTGGCATAGTTGCCACGCTTGGCTTAGCTGTAATCAGAAAGATGCTGCTGCCTAGCTCCTGTTACAGTTTCCTTTTGTCGCGGCTTACGTCACCCACTGGAGGATATGGGGTAATGGATATTCTTGCACCACCACTACACGGCTTACAAGCGCTTGTAATGAAACATTATATTGGTTTGTACTTGGTAGAGCCACGCTGCAGTTATATTATAGTTTAGCACAAATGGTTCGGCTCGACCAGGGAAGGAGCACACTCTTACAGAATACCAGCGTAGAATATCAGCTTAATACTGCTATGTTTCGTATGGTGAGTATAGTGATCCGGAGATCCTTTTTTACTGGAAGCGAGGCATTGCTTCCTAGTCCTCAGGGGTGACAACGCATCTGTGTTTTGGTTCTTAATCGACGATAAATGTAGGTGTCTATGGGCCACAGCATCCACTTAGCATCAGGTGGACAGTGTGCTTGTTTTTCTTTACGCTTATTCTATAAAAAGAAATGTGGGTAAAAATAGATAAGATGTTCGTAAATACCCAGATAATCCCAGGCAGAAAAAGATTTCTATCACCTAGAATGATTAAAAAACACACTACACCACACACTAGCTGGTTTGAGAATTTAAGTAGTAGTATGATTTGGGAAACTATTTAATATTATTATTTTTATTTTCAGATCATACACACGCCAGATCAAAACCACACAGATTTTACAAAGGCTTTGATAGAGTTAAATAATTATTGCTCAGAACATAAAGTGAATGTAAGTAACATTTATGTGTATGTGTTAGGGCCACCCTGCAACTATATTATGGTTGTAGTATGAATAGGTTGGCTCGATAAGGGAAGGACTAAGCTATCACAGAATATAAGCGTAAAATAACATTTTAATGCTGCTGTGCTTTGTATTGATCCAATATGATTGTAGAGATCCAAAGACCCTTTTTACTGGAAGCTAGACACTTCGCCTTCTACTGGAAACTAGACTAGAGCCTCATCGAGACTGTAATGATGATGATGATAATAACAAATATACCCAGAGTTGGGATGGAAGCAGAAACATTTTTTTAAATATCTGCTACTTAATGATTTCTTATATTTACGCGAACACTACACATTGAAATAATACTAATTTTTACGGAATTTATCGCGTATATTTAACTTTTTTACCCGACGTTTCGAGAGCTTTACAGCACCCATGGTCACGGGAAGGACTGAGATGTTCAACGTCCAGCTGTCATAGTTAACCGCGGTTACCATAGATTAAAATTTAACTTTTGTTCCGATCTACACAGTATGAACTTATGGTATCATGGAGTCTTGCAGTTGTATGTTTGGGTTGGGATTTAATTTTATTTATTATAGGATCCCAAGCAGATGGTAGCACCCAGCCATCTTCTCTATTGAAATTAGGATGTTTTTTGATTTCAATAGCCTCGCGAATCATCCTTGGAAGGAATCGGTGTTCTTTAGCGAGGATTTGTGGTCTATCAAATCTGATGTAGTGACGGGGGCGATCCTGTACATGTTCACAGACTGCAGACTTCCCGGAGCGTCGATTCTTCACATCAGCTATATGTTCTTTGACGCGGGTTTTAATTGATCTTTTAGTTTGTCCTATGTAGGAGAGACCACATTCACTGCCGTATGTTAGAGGAGTCACTGACAAGATTGGCTACATCTTGAAGCGCGCTTCCATCAAAACATACTTCAAGCCGCCGAAGAAGATTGGTCAGTTTTTACCATCAGTCAAGTGTAACGTCCCTCTGCAAGATGCAGGAGTGTACAAGCTTGATTGTGAATGTGGTCTCTCCTACATAGGACAAACTAAAAGATCAATTAAAACCCGCGTCAAAGAACATATAGCTGATGTGAAGAATCGACGCTCCGGGAAGTCTGCAGTCTGTGAACATGTACAGGATCGCCCCCGTCACTACATCAGATTTGATAGACCACAAATCCTCGCTAAAGAACACCGATTCCTTCCAAGGATGATTTGCGAGGCTATTGAAATCAAAAAACATCCTAATTTCAATAGAGAAGATGGCTGGGTGCTACCATCTGCTTGGGATCCTATAATAAATAAAATTAAATCCCAACCCAAACATACAACTGCAAGACTCCATGATACCATAAGTTCATACTGTGTAGATCGGAACAAAAGTTAAATTTTAATCTATGGTAACCGCGGTTAACTATGACAGCTGGACGTTGAACATCTCAGTCCTTCCCGTGACCATGGGTGCTGTAAAGCTCTCGAAACGTCGGGTAAAAAAGTTAAATATACGCGATAAATTCCGTAAAAATTAGTATTATTTCAATATCTGCTACTTGTTTTTTAAAGCACCTGTTACTGGCAGACATAAATAGAGCTATGCATACCCACACAAGCATTTTCTTAGCCAAAGAGTGGTTGAAACATGGAAGAAGCTGCCATCAGAAGTGATATCAGCACAAACCATAAAGCATTTTAAGAACAGATTGGATAAATAAACAAATTAGGACAACTACAGATTAAAAACCAGGATGCAGGCTTATATCAATTGTTCAACTGCTGGCCTACTAAATAATAATAAACATCATATGTTTTAAAACTCCGACGAAAACAAAGGGGTGTTATAAGTTTGTAGTGTGTATTTATGAATCTGTGTGTCTGACTGTGACATCATAGTTCCTGAACGGATCAACCGATTTTGATTCAGTTTTTTCGTTTAAAAGATGCCTTAATCGAGAGAAGCTATGTTAAAAAAATTGCATTTTGATTCTTAATTAAAGATAAATGTGGATGTCTATGGGCCACAGCATTCACTTACCTTTAGATAGACTGTGTGCTCGTTTGTCACTCAATGATATAAAAAACAAGATTTTTCTAAGAATGCATTAACTGGCATGCATATCTTGGAGAATTTATCCATATTCACAAATTGGATTGGTGGGTGGTACAGTTGACGCTCCCACTGGTAATGCTGCATCACTAATTTCTTTTTAACCATGCAGAATGAAGCACATACAGGTTAAGTTGGTATTTGGAGGAAAAACTGATACAATACCCCTTTCACCCCTTCTTGGATAATTTTAAAATTATATAAGTTTAATAATTATACTTTGTATTTCTTCTAGATAGACCATGCAGTGGCCATAGCTCAAACTTCAGGAAGAATTGATCAAATCTTGGGAAATGTGCAGACTTTATACCTTGCAAAACAGAAGCATTTGCTAAGTTCTACCACAAATGTCTATGTTTTATCTGATGATGCAATGTCATGGCTCCTGTTTCCAGGGGATCATATGATTTTTATTCCTGAAGTCACAAGGAAACATGAGAGATCTTGGTGCTCTTTGGTACCTATAGGAGAAATCTGTGAAAGTGTCACAACCACTGGCCTCAAATGGAACTTGGGTATTGTGTATTATTTTTGATTAATTTAACTTAAGGTAGCCACACACGCTAGGTTATAACCGATGGTTATGCTTGCACAGTTCAACTGGCAGACACTACAAATATAGAAATTGATATTTTAACCAATCGGTTATGCTTGCGCAGGTCGCTTGCGTTAATTGTGGATGAGAGATTGAGGGGCGCAGTGGTAGATACAAGGGTTTACCGGGGTTCTAACGTGGGAACGGATCATTATTTGGTTTTATGCCGAATTAATGGTCTATTCAGGCGTTAGCGCCATCGATCATCTGTGTCTACTACTGCGTTACAGCGTATTAGAACAGAAAGGTTACAAGATGAAGGTGAGAGAAACAAGTTCAAATATAGACTGAAAGAAAATATAAGTGGTTTGGATGAATTATGTATGAAGAAGTTAGATTTGGAGAATGTATGGCAAAATGTAAAGAAAGGTTTAGTGGATGCAGCTACCGAAGTATGTCGTGTTAGTAAGAGGAAGAATTAAAGGAAAAATAATACGTTATGGTGGGATGAAAAGATACGTATGGAAGTTGAAGCAAAGAAGAGAGCATGGCTAGATTTACTAGCAACAAAGGCTGGTAATTCTAGCAGTACGAATGATGATATTGAAAGAAAAAAGGCAGTCTTTAAACATCTTAATAAGAGAGTAAAAGAAGTAGTTGAAAGAAAAAAGCAAGAAAGAACGGATAAGAATGATAGAAGAATATCGGATAACTTCCAGGCAAATATTAAAATGTTCTGGAAACTTGTAAGAACTGCCAGGGGACATTCAAAACAGCCTATGATGAATGTTATAAGAGACGAGAATAGCTATATTCTGAAAGATGAAGTTTTGAGTTTAAAGAGATGGAAGGAATATTTTGAAAGCATGTTTATGAGTGAGGAGACAATGTGTGTACTAAGTGAAGTAGAAACTCCGAAAGAAGAGGAAAGAGGTAGCGAGATAAGTATAGATGAAATAATGAAAGCAATGAAAAGCATGAAAGCAGGTAAGGCTGCCGGATATGATAGAGTTTTACTTGAAATGCTAAGAGCTGGAGAGGAAGTCGTGGCAGGCCTGCTGCACACCTTGTTTAATTTATGCTGGGAACTGAAGCGGGTACCGGTAGACTGGTGCAAAGCCGTGATAATCCCAGTATATAAAAGAAAAGGGTCGAAGCGGGACTGTAAAAACTACCGTGGCATCAGCCTTCTTAGCATTGTGGGAAAACTGTATGCTAAGGTACTGATTGAAAGGGTCATGAAAGAAACTGATGGAAAAATTTGGGATGTGCAAGCGGGATTCAGAAAGGGAATGGGATGTACAGATCAAGTCTTTTCCATGCGCATGATCGCGGAGAAGTTTTTGGCCAAAAACCAAAAGGTTTTTTGTGCGTTCATGGACTTGGAAAAGGCCTATGACAGAGTGGATAGGGATGTGCTATGGCAAACACTGAACTCATTTGGGTTGAGCGCTGGCTTGATACAGGCATTGGAGTCTCTTTATAGGGACTCTAGTGCTTGTGTTAGGATCAACGGGGTCTACTCGGACTGGTTTGACATCCATTAAGGTGTCAGACAGGGCTGTGTGGCTTCCCCGTGGCTGTTCAGCCTATTTACGGACAGTTGTTTGCAAAATTTGAAAGTTGAAGAATGCGGATTAGGAAGGGGTGGTTAACCGTCAAATGCCTTTTGTACGCCGATGATCAAGTTATCCTTGCGTCGTCGGCGGCCGAGTTGCAAATGATGGTTACATTAATGAACAGATCATTAAAAGAAAGGGGTATGAAAGTGAACGCAAGTAAGATGAAGGTTATGGTTTTTGAAAGAGAAGACAGTAAATCGATTTGTGAAATAAGAATAGAAGGGGGAGTTGATCGAGCAAGTAGCTGAGTTTGTATATTTGAGCTGCGTATTTAGCAGGGATGGGAGATATGATAAGGATATACAACGACGAGTGAATGCGGGAAATAGAGTAAATGGGGCCCTGCACTCTATTGTGAAGAGTCAAAATGTGTCAAAAAAGGCACGTATGGCAATTCACAATGCTACTTTAACGTATGGTAGTGAAAGTTGGGTGTGGCAGAAGAAGCACGAGAGTAGAATCAACGCAGTAGAAATGCGGTCCTTAAGGAGTATGTTAGGGCTGAATCTGAACGACAGGGTAAGAAATTGTGTAATAAGAGAAGAGTGTGGTTTGCAAGATGATGTGACCAGGATTAGGAAAGGAATGCTTCGGTGGTTTGGTCATGTGGAAAGAATGAATGAGGAAAGAGTGACAAAGAAAATTTATGTTGCAGAAGTGAATGGCAGAGTCGGAAAGGGACGTCCTAGGCGAAAATTTATCGACCAAATTGGCGATTTATTGAAAACGGGCCAAATTAGGAGTACCCTTAACCGACGAGCATGTATGCGTAGGTGTATGGATGTGAAGGAGGCGAGAGAGGTGTGTCAGGATCGTGCCAAATGGAAATATGTAGTCTCTGCCTACCCCTCTGGGTGACAGACGTGAGTGTTTATGTTTTATGTTTATGTTTGTAATCCTATTGGCACTATTGCGTCGACGTCAACCACCGCTGCCGGTGCCATGATGGTGACTGAGAGCTTGTGCAGGTTTGTCGTTACGTGTGTGTGCCGCATGAAACTCGGTCGAGCCGTCGGTTTTGCTTGCACAGGCAAAACTGACAAGCATAACCTAGCGTGAGTGACTACCTTTAGGGCGCTTTGAATTTAGACGGTTGGTGCCGGACTACTGCAGTCCGGGTACGTATTGCGCAGGGGCGGTTATGATTTTTTTATAAAAGCACTCGACGCAAGATCGTGCGAGAGCAGTGCGATGCACGTCCGTTGGCGGGACGGTAACAATGCATATATATACTACGTGCCTCGGTAGTTGTTTGCTAGTGCGGTGGACGCATCGTGTTTTTTCCGAACCATAATAAGGATGTTTTTGCATACCTATCTAATTATGGATGATTTAAATATAGAAATTTTATAAATGAAATAGAATTACAGCCCGCTATCTGGAATTCTAAATTTGACAAGTATTCGAATCGCTTGGAGAAAAAAAGGCTAGTGATGTCATATGTAAAAATGTTATTACCGATGTTAAAACCGACTGAAGTCGGGTTTTGATGGAAAACACTAAAATTAGATCGGACTGCAGCCGCATAACTCTTCAAATAAGACGATTCGCACCATACTGCTGTCGTTCCGCAGTAGTACGATTCATGTTCGTAATACAAGTGCAACAACCGACAACCAATTTAGAACATTTACATTAACAAGTGTAGGAACCATAATAAAATTCATTCCATCTTGTTACATATCTAAGATTGACTTTAGTAAAAGTCCAGAATATCTTGTGGTCTGTATTATCGGTCCCCCGTCATAAGCAACCTAGGCATTGTCGATTCCTTCGACCAAATGAGTTATAGAGTTTTTATTAGCAACCCGAAGTCATGAATATGGAGGTGTTTCACCCCCGTGACTTAGAAAGCACGTAACGTAACGCTTGATCTCTTTCCACCAGTCTTGTTGGACTACCGTCCCATTAGACTATGAGAGTGCGAAAAAAGAGAGTGCACCTGTGCTTAACTACACGCTCATGCACTATGATCCTATCATGCGTAGTGTCCGTTGAGTCTGGCCGACGTGATTGAAATTTGGTCTTTAGGATATTAGTAATCGGTATAACCATAAATATAGAATATAAATATTCAGATTGGAAGCAATGTTGTGGGACATTTTGTAGTGCTATCTCTAATCTGCCTGGTAAGCTTGGCAATTTCGGCTAATTCTGCTGTCCTTAAGGAAGAGGTCCATGTTCATTATGTGAAGGAGGAGTAAAATATACTTAACTATATATGATTTGATGTAATATTATTCCTTGGGAAAGGCCACTGGCTGAAATGATGATGATAGTGATAATGATGATGTTTGATTTAAAGAAACGGTAATTAGGTGGCATAATAATAAATTATCGATAAATATGGTAATTAAAAATGTTGTCAAAATTAATTACTTGATAATTCTTAATTTAATGATAATTATTATTTTGTTTAAATTATAGTGATATTATGGTGTGAGTGTGAACTATAGTGTTGTTAAAATTATTAGCCTTAGCGTGTGTATATGTGGTTGTCAATACGCTAAGAACTTCTTTTTATGAAAGAATATTTTGGTAAATCAATTTATCAAAACTATTTTAAAGTCTTTATTGCATCCCCTTAGAAAAAAAGGATACAAAGCTTATCAGATGAATAGAAGTAAACATAATGATGTAATAAAACATATTTTTATAAGTATTTTTATTGTTTTAATAAATCAAACAATATAAAATAGGTAATAAAATATAATTAATATAAAATTTATATGAAATTATAATTAATATAAAATTATTAATATAAAATAAGTAATAAAATATATTTAATAGATAATTAATGAATAAACCAAAATAAGAATAATTAATTATTTTGTATGAAAGTTAAAACATAGTTTTTATTATAATTCCAAAATATTTAAAATCATAGGTAACAAATTAACTTACTTCATTAATTATATAGTCTCCCATTAATGTAGGATAATCACAAATGCGGAAAAGTGGCAACATTGAACCTAAATGGCAATATTAAATAATTTTATTTAGTTATTTGAGGTTTTTTTAGGTTTATATGAAAACAAGAACTAAAAATTATGTGTTGAAAGTGATTCCGCTTGATTTATTTCGTTTTTGTGACCTTGAGTAGCATTCTTTCACCACGCATTTACCCATTTTTTGTCGCGGCTCAACTCTGTCGACGTCACATTGTACACAGAACTGACGTTGGCTAGGGCTAGGCATATGGCTGTGGCCATATTTGCAGTGGGAATGCTTTGGCTCGGTTATTACTGATCTAGTGTATTATATAAATCAATGCAGTAGAGGAACTATTTCGTTTATAAATTAATTTATTCAGAACTAACCGAATAACCTATGACATCAGCACGGAGTTCGCAACTTA